TTTTTCAGTCCAAAATCACTTAAATTTGATAAGAAAAATAAGTACAAAAATGGACTTATCAATCTCCTCGCACTTAAGCGTTGCTTGTCCTCAAGCGACAAATTAGTTGCAAACACACTCAAAAAAGGTAAAACCTGACTGAATCACAATCGAATTGCTATTAACAAAATAGAAACAAAAATCTCCCTTTTTTATTGTCAATTTTTAAACATTTTAGAAAAATCACCCAAAATACAAGAATTTAAAATTATTATTACTAAAGAAACTATTGATTATGTTAAACCACCAATCAATTCCTTGTCCCAAGGTTTTCATTATTCTAATTTGGACATTTATCTTATTCACAAATTATGTTTTTTTGTGTGTCTCTTTTCCACTCTTGTTGGCGGTGTTATCCCATTGTAGATGCATATTTCATTCTCACAGATTATGATTAACGAATGAAACAGAGCCCCTTTTCGGAGATGGAATTGTCCTATAACAATGAGTTTTGAAGAGATTTATTAATAATAGTATTTTTTTTTTGTTTTTTTATGAATAAAATGAATGTCCAATTAAAACAAAATTAACCCCTTACATTCGCAACCAAAAACCCATAACAATTTCAAGTTTTCTAAAAATAATAATAAAAGTAAATTCTTACAACAAGGGTGATCCTCTAAGCTATTATGTGATTGATAACAATTGAGAGGTGAATGTTTCATATCAAAAATAGTAAAAAGATTGATTTAAAACAAGGTTTTATCTTTTTGAGTGTAAAACGCAACCTCCTCACACTTGAGCTGCACCTCGCCCTCGAGGTCTGCACAAAGTTTAGAAATAAAGGCACATTTTTTTGGTTCTTTCCTCACACTTGAGTTTTGAAAAGATTTTGTGAAGAGGAATAATGAAAACAGGAATAAAATTGTTTTAAAAATATCGTCCATGATCAGTTTTTTTTTTGAAATCGGGTCAAAGCGTTCAACTCACAATTTATTTATTGAAGCACCACCTGCAATCACACAAAACAAACAAATAAAGTTATGAAAAACCTGGGTTGCCTCCCAAGAAGCGCTTCTTTAACGTCACTAGCTTGACGTTTGAGAGAGAACTTTCTGTAATGCCAGTCAGTCGTGGAGCACTCATCATTAGTGCCTCCACCTTATCCTTCAGGTATGCCGTCAGATGGCGTAGACCTTCGAACTCTCGTGACCACCGAAATGTGACATAATCTTCAAAGAACACATCGTTCGAACAAGAAATTAGCACATATCCTGCATCACTCTCATTAGTGATATCAACAAGTATTTCAGGATTAGGTGCCTCTGGTTTCTCCAACCGCTCAAATGGAGTCATCAAGGTAAAAGTAGCATGACTAGAGATTTGATACTCCTCTTGATGAGTTTTCTCTTCTTCATTTATGCCCTCAACATGAAAATCGCAAAGTTTAGATTCTGTGTCACTCTCTAAGAATGCATCCCAACTTCCTAACTCACTAACCCCACATATATCATCTAGGCAAACAGATCCTTGCCTAGAACAACTATGTTCGTCATCATTGAGTAGGGAGTCAAAGAAGGCATCATCGGAGAATGTTTCCTCCAAATCACACGTTTCAATAACAACTTCAACAGGCATTTGGGCTTGTGTACGATGAACATCTTCATTAAGGCTATCCTTCAAGGATTCTTCAGGTGAGAGATCATCCATAGATGGTAGGGTAGGGCCGGTGTCACAAAGTATCTCCTCATCTGTGGTCTCTTCATCAACTTCAGTGGGCACTTCCAGAATGAGTTCTTTAGGACTAAGTTCTATGAGGACAGACTCTAGCTCAGTAGCAATGAGAAGCTCAAAAGAAATAGGGGTGCAAAGAGTTTCAACCGTCTCGCCCATAGTTACCGCTGCCTCCTCCTCAGAATTAACACCTTTCTCGTATGTCTCCTTTTGAAATTTGTGTTCATTATCATAAATGATTTGTTCACACAATTTCTTGATACTCTCGTCACGAGATGCTAGTTCAATCCTTGCCCTTTTTAATTCTTCCACAAACTCGAGCAAGGATGATTTTAATTTTTCGAGCTCGTGTTCAGGATAAGGTGAAATTCCAGAGTCAACCTCGTAGGAGTACTCGTTTGTGCCGGTGTAATGATTTTCTAGCCCTTCGTGATAATTTTCATAATAATTAAAATTATCATGATAATTACCTTGATAGGAAAAATCATCATGGCGTTCAAAGTTTTTCCCTTGGTGGAAATAGTTATCTTGAAATTGGTAATCTCCATACCCCAAAGGTGGATTTTCGCACCATTGATTGTTATCCTCATAACCTTGCTCATAATATCCTTCATTTTGATTATTTTGAAAAACTTGTTGTTCATTATATGGATAGTGATATGGTGGATGAGAATGAAAGTGTTCGCTTGAGTAATCCATAAGAAAATCTCAAGCAAACACGTGAGAACAAAACAAAAAAGAAATAGAAAGTCTCCCTAACTTGAATTCGCCCATGCTAAAATCAAAATCAAGAATTCACCGTGCCATTCCCCGGCAACGACGCCATTTGATAACCGCTTTTGCGACGTTGTAGTAAAACGGAGTCTAACCTTTCGGTTTTCCCCGAGTATCGTGTCTCTTGAGGAATGGCGGAGGAGTTTCTTGATTTTAAGCTCAGTCACAGGTTATCGCAAATTATTGGAAGCTTTCCAAATTAAAACTTTTGATTGATTTTCTAAACTAGTTTTTTAAAAATAAAGTAATTAAATTATGCAAATACTAATGATGGCTCAAAAATAAACTAAATGAAAAATATTAAACTCTAAATGAATTGATCAAAGAAGGGCAATGAATTGAATAATTAGAAATGGATATATTCTTGGACCTAGTAATTAGGGGAATTTAAAACTAAGATTGGACTAAAAATTTCTTTTCTCATAGACAAGAATAGAAATTACTTTCATTAATTTATCCTATTTCTAGATTTCATTAATGTATTCAAAAATGGTTGGCTTGAATTAAATTCTAATCTCATAGACAAGGCAGAAATAATTCTCCAAAATTTTAATTAATAAAAATAGCCAAATTCATTAACTAATTAAATTCATTATTTAAGCAATTTGAATTTATTTCTCATAGACAAGATGTAAATCCATTTCATTAAAATTATCCTATTTCTAGGCCTTATTAATGTGCTTGAATAAAGTTGGCTCAAATTACTTTCTAATCTCATAGACAAGTTAGAAATAATTTTCCAAATTTAATTAATGAAATTGGCTAACAATTATTAATTACTAATTCATCAAATTGAATAACTAGCTCAATTAATTAATTTTAACCCCTAATTTTCGGCTAACAAGACAATCCATATTCCTTTACTCAATTCATGCCCAAAACAAATTTAGCTACTAAACATTATTTTTGCATTCAACAATATGGTAAATAAATTAAACATTAACAAGGAATTAAACATGTATAATAGCAAAAATTAAACAAAAATAAGATATTGTCAAAATAAACTTTCTGGAACTACAATATGACCTTCTGGAATTTTTTCACTAATTTTCAAACCTAAAATCCAATTTTAACAATTAATTGATAATTTTCCCACTTTTAACTATAAAATACAAAAGGCAATTACAAATAGGCTAAATTCGTTCTAAATTTTCTATTGACTACTGGGGTGATATTACAGTGAAATAAACTGGAATTAGGGCCGAGACTATTTTTTTTTCCTATTTTTTTGTGTAATTAATTTAATAAATGCAATAATAACAACTAATTACCGAAATTAATTAAAAATTACTTGTACTTCGTGAAAATTAACTTTCTTCAGATAAATAACAACCTTGAGACTAGTAAACAACTATATAATTAATTGGAATGAATTCAACATCAACAACTATTTTATTTAATTTTTGGAAGAAAATGCGAAATACTTGATAAATATTCTGGAAAAATTCGAAGAACAGATCGAGAAAACAAAGCACAGATTCAGATTCTACTCGTTTGAGAAGATGAAAATACATATAAAGAACTTACAATTTGAAGCTAAAATGAAAAAGATATGAAAGATTGAAGTTGAAGGTGCAACAATGGTGGAAATCCGAGCTTTGAAGAGGAAGAAGAAGACCTTTTTGAACTAGTTTCGGGCTAAGAATGATGTGTTTGAGTTAAGCAAAAATCGGGCTATTTATAGCCCAAAAAATCTCATAGGCTGCCAAACAGGCTGCCGCCTGCCGTTCTTGTCTGGCCACCTGCCGTCACATCCCACCGGCCGGTGGTTGGTTCGTCGCCTTGTGCCGCAGGCGGTCATCGAAGGTGGCCGCCTTCCGTCCAGTGTCGGCCGCCTTCTGTTTTTCTCCGGTCCGGTCAAATTTGATCAAATTTCAAAAATTGGTAGGCGGCCTGGTAGGCGGCCAATCTGGGCGCCTATTCGGGCGCCTGTGAGATTTTTTGTCCGTCTTGTTCTGCATTTTGTGCTCTTCAACTTTCCCTTCTGGACCACTTTGAAATTCTGCTTCATTTTTTCGGTATGATATCATTTGTTACTCAAATTGACGCATTTTGTGCTAAATTGACCCGAAATTTCGTCAAACATATCATGGATGTGATTTTTACCTGATTTCACGAAACTTGAACCAAAATATATAAAACATGCCTTGTTTTTATGTTTTTCAGTCCAAAATCACTTAAATTTGATAAGAAAAATAAGTACAAAAATGGACTTATCAATAATCTTATTTATTTAATTAAATGCTACTCCTTCCCCAAGTATCGCCTAGCTTCCCTATTTTTCCTCCACGTTTAACCACTTGCTCTAATCCTTTCTCTCCATTTGACTTGGTGACATGTAGGGAATCAGCGTTTATCCCCTTTAAACTTGGGCTCGTCTCAAATGCACGAATGGACTTCTCCTTGCTGTTGGGCTTCTTGCTATTAAATAAAATATCAGCCCAATCAACAGATAAATTTTGGGGATCCAACATTTGCCCCATTCATGATGAGGGTGAGTTAAACTCTTGGCCCAAGAACCGTCATCATGAATATGTACCATCTTGACACTCAACCACCTTCCCTCTGATCGAGAAACTGTATGCTCCTCAGTTCCTCTTTATACCCCTTCGCACGCTTCACCATCTCTTCACATTTGAATTTGTTTCGCCGTAACAGTTTGTTATCTCTCACATGGCTTCCGCCGTGTTTACCAGCCAAAACCTCTTGGAGGCCAAAAATTCAAGAGCCTGTGAACTCTTGGAACAAGATAAAGAAGATAGTGAAAGTTCTTATGGTTTCTCTCCCCCAATCGTAGTTCATTTCCCCATTCGTCCCGAACGGGCGGATTGGTCATGTCACTGATGGGTTAGCTTCTATCAATACCCCTTCAAGAAACTAGGTATGCGGTTTCCCTTCTCATAATTTGTATCAATGTCCTTGGCTAAAACTGCTCTATTTTCGCTGAAAACGCTAAATCATAGAGATAAGACTAAGTATTTGTGACATTCATATCTTGCTGTGTGTTTATCCGTTTGGAACGTATTATATCTCGTTGGACAGATAGATTGGAGCTCTAAAGCTATTGTTCCAACTTCATTTACAATGTATTAATTGAAAGTTACAGATTAACCATACATTCACAAATGTTTCTGATTTCACTCCGAACTCGTGTAGAATTTGATGCGATCATATCTTGCTCTATTTTGTGCCGTTGAAAGCGTTTAATATCTCGTTGGAAAGATCTTACCGAGTTCTAAATCTTATCTTCAGGCGCTGTTTTCAAAGTATCAAGGGATGATTGCCTAATTACTAAAATACACTGTATTTACGCTAAAAGTGCTCTATTTTCGCTGAAAACGCTAAATCATAGAGATAAGGCTAAGTATTTGTGACACTCATATCTTGCTGTGTGTTTATCCGTTTGGAGCGTATTATATCTCGTTGGAAAGATAGATCTGAGGTCTAAAGCTATTGTTCCAACTTCATTTACAATGCATTAATTAAAAGTTACAGATTAACCATATATTCATAAATGTTTCTGATTTCACTCCGAACTCGTGTAGAATTTGATGTGATCATATCTTGCTCTATTTTTTGCCGTTGAAAGCGTTTAATATCTCGTTGGAAAGATCTTACCGAGTTCTAAAACTTGTCTTCAGGAGCTGGTTTCAAAATATCAAGGTATGATTGCCCAATTACTAAAATACCCTGTATTTACGCTAAAAGTCCTCTATTTTCGCTGAAAACGCAAAATCATAGAGATAAGGCTAAGTATTTGTGACACTCATATCTTGCTGTGTGTTTATCCATTTGGAGCGTATTATATCTCGTTGGAAAGATAGATCGGAGCTCTAAAGCTATTTTTCCAACTTCATTTACAATGCATTAATTAAAAGTTACACATTAACCATATATTCACAAATGTTTATGATTTCACTCCGAACTCGTGTAGAATTTGATGCGATCATATCTTGCTCTATTTTGTGCCGTTGAAAGCGTTTAATATCTCGTTGGAAAGATCTTACCAAATTATAAAACTTGTCTTCAGGCGCTGGTTTCAAAATATCAAGGGATTATTGCCTAATTACTAAAATACACTGTGTTTACGCTAAAAGTGCTCTATTTTCGCTGAAAATGATAAATCATAGAGATAATGCTAAGTATTTGTGACACTCATATCTTGCTGTGTGTTTATCCGTTTGGAGCGTATTATATCTCGTTGGAAAGATAGATGGGATCTCTAAAGCTATTGTTCCAACTTCATTTACAAAGCATTAATTAAAAGTTACAGATTTACCATATATTCACAAATGTTTCTGATTTCACTCCAAACTCGTGTAGAATTTGATGCAATCATATCTTGCTCTATTTTGTGCTGTTGAAAGCGTTTAATATCTCGTTGGAAAGATCTTACCGAGTTCTACGTCCATAAGGTTGAATCCCCAACCCCAAGGCCTCCCCCCACCCCGACTCGACAGGATGGTGGGGAAGTAAATCACGATGACTCAGTCGGCAAAGCGGCAGTAGGCCTTTACCCGTGCGCACCAGAGGGTCAGCCTTATTTCAGGTTCTGAAAACACCCTTTTGGCCGCTGCGGGATTTGAACCTTGGTCTACGTCCAATTTTTCCCACCGCTCGACCAACTGAGCTACCCGTGCGGGTTCTTACTGAGTTCTAAAACTTGTCTTCAGGGGCTGGTTTCAAAATATCAAGGGATCATTGCCTAATTACTTAAATACACTGTATTTACGCTAAAAGTGCTCTATTTTCGCTGAAAACGCCAAATCAAATAGATAAGGCTAAGTAATTGTGACACTCATATCTTGCTGTGTGTTTATCCGTTAGGATCGTATTATATCTCGTTGGAAAGATAGATCGGAGCTCTAAATCTATTGTTCCAACTTCATTTACAATGCATTAATTAAAATGTACAGATTAACCATATATTCACAAATGTTTCTGATTTCACTCCAAACTCGTGTAGAATTTGATACGATCATATCTTGCTCTATTTTGTGCCGTTGAAAGCGTTTACTATCTCTATGGAAAGATCTTACCGAATTCTAAAACTTGTCTTCAAGCGCTGATTTCAAAATATCAAGGGATGATTGCCTAATTACTAAAATATACTGTATTTACGCTAAAAGTGCTCTATTTTCGCTGAAAACGCTAAATCATAGAGATAAGGCTAAGTATTTGTGACACTAATATCTTGCTGTGTGTTTATCCGTTTAGAGCGTATTATATCTCGTTGGAAAGAGAGATCAGAGCTCTAAAGCTATTGTTCCAACTTCATTTACAATGCATTAATTAAAAGTTACAGATTAACCATATATTAACAAATGTTTCTGATTTCACTCCGAACTCGTGTACAATTTGATGCGATCATATCTTGCTCTATTTTGTGCCATTGAAAGCGTTTAATACCTCGTTGAAAAGATCATACCGAGTTCTAAAACTTGTATTCAGACGCTGGTTTCAAAATAATAAGGGATGATTGCCTAATTACTAAAATACTGTATTTACGCTAAAAGTGCTCTATTTTCGCTGAAAACGCTAAATCATAGAGATAATGCTAAGTATTTGTGACACTCATATCTTGCTGTGTGTTTATCCGTTTGGAGCGTAGTATATCTCGTTGGAAAGATAGATAGGATCTCAAAAGCTATTGTTCCAACTTCATTTACAATGCATTAATTAAAACTTACAGATTAACCATATATTCACTAATGTTTTTGATTTCACTCCAAACTCGTGTAGAATTTGATGCGATCATATCTTGCTCTATTATTTGCCGTTGAAAGCGTTTAATATCTCGTTGGAAAGATCTTACCGAGTTCTAAAACTTGTCTTCAGGAGCTGGTTTCAAAATATCAAGGTATGATTGCCTAATTACTAAAATACCCTGTATTTACGCTAAAAGTCCTCTATTTTCACTGAAAACGCAAAATCATAGAGATAAGGCTAAGTATTTGTGACACTCCTATCTTGCTGTGTGTTTATTCATTTGGAGCGTATTATATCTCGTTGGAAAGATAGATCGGAACTCTAAAGCTATTGTTCCAATTTATTTACAATGCATTAATTAAAAGTTACAGATTAACCATATATTCACAAATGTTTCTGATTTCACTCCGAACTCGTGTAGAATTTGATGCGATCATATCTTTCTCTATTTTGTGCCGTTGAAAGCGTTTAATATCTCGTTGGAAAGATCTTACCGAGTTCTACAAATTGTCTTCAGACGCTGGTTTCAAAATATTAAGGGATGATTGCCTAATTACTAAAATGCACTGTATTTACGCTAAAAGTGCTCTATTTTCGCTGAAAACGCTAAATCATAGAGATAAGGCTAAGTATTTGTGACACTCATATCTTGGTGTGTGTTTATTCGTTTGGAGCGTATTATATCTCGTTGGAAAGATAGATCGGATCTCTAAAGCTATTGTCCAACTTCATTTACAATGCATTAATTAAAAGTTACAGATTAACCATATATTCACAAATGTTTCTGATTTCACTCCGAACTCGTGTAGAATTTGATGCGATCATATCTTGCTCTATTTTGTGCCGTTGAAAGCGTTTAATATCTTGTTGTAAAGATCTTACCGAATTCTAAAACTTGTCTTCAGGAGCTGGTTTCAAAATATCAAGGAATGATTGCCTAATTACTAAAATACACTGTATTTACGCTAAAAGTGCTCTATTTTCGCTGAAAACGTCAAATCATAGAAATAAGGCTAAGTATTTGTGACACTCATATCTTGCTGTGTGTTTATCCGTTTGGAGCGTATTATATCTCATTGGAAAGATAGATCGGAGCTCTAAAGCTATTGTTCCATCTTCATTTACAATGCATTAATTAAAAGTTACATATTAACCATATATTCACCAATGTTTCTGATTTCACTCCGAACTCGTGTAGAATTTGATACGATCATATATTTCTCTATTTTTGCCGTTGAAAGCGTTTAATATCTCGTTGGAAACATCATACCGAGTTTTAAAACTTGTCTTCAGGCGCTGGTTTCAAAATATCAAGGGATGATTGCCTAATTACTAAAATACACCGTATTTCTGCTAAAAGTGCTCTATTTTCGCTGAAAATGCTAAATCATAGAGATAAGGCTAAATATTTGTGACACTCATATCTTGCTGTGTGTTTTCCGTTTGGAGCGTATTATATCTCGTTGGAAAGATAGATCGGAGCTCTAAAGCTATTTTTCCAACTTCATTTACAATGCATTAATTAAAAGTTACACATTAACCATATATTCACAAATGTTTCTGATTTTACTCCGAAATCGTGTAGAATTTGATGCAATCATATCTTGGTCTATTTTGTGCCGTTGAAAGCGTTTAATATCTGGTTGGAAATATCTTACCAAGTTATAAAACTTGTCTTCAGGCGCTGGTTTCAAAATATCAAGGGATAATTGCCTAATTACTAAAATACACTGTATTTACGCTAAAAGTGCTCTATTTTCGCTGAAAACGCTAAATCAAATAGATAAGGCTAAGTATTTGTGACACTCATATCTTGTTGTGTGTTTATCCGTTTGGAGCGTATTATATCTCGGTTGAAAGATAGACCGGAGCTTTAAAGCTATTATTCCAACTTCATTTACAATGCATTAATTAAAAGTTACAGATTAACCATATATTCACAATATTTTTGATTTCACTCCGAACTCATGTAGAATTTGATGCAATCATATCTTGCTCTATTTCATACAAGAGAAGTGCACCAATACCACCAAAAGGCCTATTCTAATATTTCCAGAAACTCATAGCAGGTGCCTCAGCAGTTCCCTCACATTCACCCAACTGCCGAGTCCACTGCTTCAGTAAAAAGTTATAGTTTCTTTTCACTTAAGCATACTTATTAAAAGGCCTTAC